ATGTCCTTGGGTTCAAAGCCCTAAGTAAAGTGCACGGCCCCACCCCAGGGGGGCTCTGGGTGATCCTGGGTACCCTGAAGCGAATTAGTAAGGGGCTCCACTTACTAATTCACAACGTGGAAGTGGGGAACACAGCCCACTAACTCAGGAGTCCTTTTTAATGTCAAAAAGTAGTGACTGCCATTCCAGGTCAAGGAAAGCAGGAGACAGTAAACCAGTTGGAGAGGATTCAAGGGTCCAGTTTGGTGGTTTAATCATTTGGTGATTAGTGAACCCTGGCCCAGGGCACACCCACTCTCCAGTAGCTCCCCCACCCATGCTCAACACCTGAACCCAAAGCAGTGATTAACCTGAAAGGCCACCGCAGGTACACTGCGTTTGGCAAGTGGCATCTCTGGCACCATGCCACCTGCATCCATCTTCTCAGCCACAGGCTCTGGAACCCTGGGTCTCATGGGGCCTGTTTCCTCATGTGCCGATGGGGACACCCCAGCACCCTCCTCCTAAGAACACCGCCATGCCTTCACGAGCAAGCCCTGGCAGTGTGGGCCCCGGGTAAGGTTTAATGAGCACCGGCTGTCACAGTCAGGCCTTCTAGCCCAGGACGCCTGTGGAATCGGAGACTTCGGGGCCATCCACTAATCAAGTACTTACTAAAAGCCTACTGTGTGCCAGGCATGGAACAAGTGCCAGTCCTAGGACGGACCAGTCTGAAGTCTCCACGAAAGGACTCACCTGGAGGGCTTGCTCAGTGCCTGGCCTGCCGCAGGCGCTCAATGAATGTGTCATTAAGCATTAATTACAGAGCTGCTGCTCCCTTACAAGCCACTTCGGTGTCCAATTTACCTCTGCGTCCCCTTCCATGTTGCCGGCTCAATACATGCTCCTCACGCTGAATTAACGACTACCCTGCACCTTCCGTTTCCTAACAGCAACACTGCCAAGTATGCAAGAGCAAAATTAGTAAGTGAAAAGAGTGCCCACTACCTTGATCAGCACAGACCAATAGACCTGCGCACCACGTCGGCTCTCCGATCTGGAGGAGTCCCTGCCGTTATCACTAGACCAGGAGGGGCCGCGAGGAAACCTGCTCATCAACACTTTCCCACACTGGCCCCACTGGCCGCCCCGAGACCACACTCTCCCGCATTTCCGCGGACACAAGACGCGCCCCGCCATCCCCCTTCAGCGGGAAGCCGGTGTCTCCCCGGAGTTTTGGTTCCTGGGCCGCCACCCTCGACCACGAGCCAAGGGGAAGGCCAAGAGCGTTAACAAAAGAAGGGGAACTTTCTCCGCTCAGAGCCCGGCGGCGCGGTCTGCTCAGAAATCCGCCCAAGTCGCGCACTCCGGGGCTGACAGCTGCCAGGGCCAGGCAGCATTGTCCGGGGGAACGCGCGCGGACCGCCAACTTTTCGTTCGAGGCGCGGCCGTCCTATTCGGAACAAAGTGGAAGGTCAGCGGCGCCGCGGCGGCGCCGGGAGCGCACAGCCTCACCCGGCCGCGCCGCGAAGTTGGCTGGCGCGCCCCACTTTCCTTTTTGTCCTCCCGGCCTGCGGGCTCGGCCGGACCCCTCCGCCTCCTCTGCCCGCGCCCGCCCCGCCCCCGCCCGCGCCCGCACAAAGCGCGCCCGGCGCCGCGCGGCCCGCACGCCCCGGGCCTCGGCCCGGCCCGGCCTCGGCCTGAGGCGCGGCGGCAGTGGCGGCGAGGCGCGGGCCCGCCCTCCAGCGCTGCGCCCCCGCCCGCCCGCGCGGAGCCCCCTCCGTGCCCCAGCCCCCCCGCCAGCCTCTCATCGCCCGCCCGCGCCCGCCGCCGGCCCGCCGGCTCCGCTCCTCACCTCAGCATCGGCGGCGGCCATGGCCCGGGCCCGCAGCGTGGCCCCGCCCCTCCCGCGCGCCATCGCCCCGCCCGCGCCTCGCGGCTCAGGGTGGGGCGGGACTGCCGCGAGCCTCTGCGCCTGCGCCGGTTCCCGCGCCTGCGCGCTGCGGCCTAAACGGCGGCGTCCGCGACGCGGGCCTGCGAGTGGCGGAACGGGTCGCGGGAACAAGGCGAGGTTGAGGGGGGGTCAACCGGAGCGGACTTCCGGGAGGCGCTGCGGTGGGGGAAGTCGACCCCACGTTTTCACAAATATCTTCTAGTTCTACTTAGGCATTCCGGAGGGCTGGCCGGGGGCGGAGTAGGACCCCTGACCTCTAACCCTGGACACGTCTTTCCGTCGGCCTTCACAGAAGGCGGGTCCTGCCCTGCGTCCTAGGGCGGTGCCCCAGTCCAGGGTGCGCCCACCGGGAAGGGCGACCGGTTAGGAACTCTGTGGGTGAGGGGTGGCGATGCCGGAGCTGGGTGCACTGTGCAGACTGCGATAGCCGCCCCGAAGCGGGGGAGGGGAATGTCCCAATGGGGAGAATTGCCCCAAGTTGGATGGATGCTTCACTGGGAGCGTCGCCTCAGACGGAGTTGCTGCGTTTGCGGGAGTTGCGACTATTAGGGAAGCGCCGCCACTCGGGGGTGCTGTAGCCAGGAGCCTGTTGGGACCATGAGGGACAGTCCTGAGTGCGAAAGCTGCAGGTGGGGTTCGGAATGTCCGTGTGCGAAGGGTTGCACCCGTTTCGCGGTGCTCTGGATAAAGGAGTGGGTGCCTGGCTGCCCCAGCCGGGCAGCGTCCCAGATCACCTCAAGCTCCATGCCCAGCACCTGTCTGCCCGCCTGCCACTAGCTGTGCACAGGGCAAGACCTTTCTTGCGCCCCAGCCTTCTCTGGGCATCACTGGCTTAGGCCACCCGCATCCTAAACCTGCTTCACCTATCCCCTGGGAGCCCAGGAGAAAGTTGTGGGCAGAAGTGGGGTTCTCTAGCTATTATTGGAAACAAGAACTGAGGAGGCCGACTTGAAGATTAATCTGCCTCCAACCCCGTGAGGGCTCAGGAAAATGCTGCTGTCTGTCATTGATGATGGTGCACCCTGGTGCAAAGGAGAGAATGGACGACCCTAAGTACCAAGAAACCTTCCATTCTTCTTTTGGGCAACCTAAGTCAGCTTGTGACAGGCTGGGGACCCCCAAGCTCTATCTGCAGCCCAGGACAGGGGGCTCAGGAGCAGTCACCCACCATGGCTCAGATGATCCAACTTGACCCACCTTCACCCACACCTGTCTCTCTGAGTCTGTCCTCTCCATCTCCAGTCCTGCCTTGGGCCCTAGTCTGACCCTTCCCTGGAACGCTTTCAGCTCAGGCATCTGTGTGGCTCACTTCTCCACCCTCCTTGAGTCTCATCACTACCTCTTCAGGGAAGCCCTCCCTTACTTAAAAATGATGCTGCACCCCAGAACTTAAATTGCTTCACCTTACTCCATAGCCATATTGTCTTTCTCACTGCAGTGTAAGTCCAAAAGGTCAGGGATTTTGTTGTGCCCTGGTGCCTAGAACTGTACTTGCATCTTTTGAATGAATAAATGAGTTAAGAGTTGGAGAAAAATCCTTCACCAGGCAAATACAAACGAGTATCAGAAGTAGGCTACGCTCCTATTTTGCACAAGTGCAATCCGCCCACCCTTGTCTGATCCCAGGTAACTTGTGTCAGACGCTGTTCTTAGCATGTGACTATTAACTCTGACCATCGGGTCGGTCGTAGATGGACACTGTGCTTTACCCACATTCGGTAAATGTGCAAACCATAGCAAGGGCGTTAAGTACACTGAAGGCCACACCACTGCCAGGAGGCAGTGATAAAATTGGAACACAGGTGGACTTCCCTTTCGACAGAGGCCACAGCTCCTGGCAAAGATTTTAGATTACCCCGTTTGTGGCATGCTATTCTCTGGTATTCATCCTTTCCCTCTTCTACAAACAGTAACATTTGGCCGAGTACATACATGGCAGCCCGCTAAAGAGCACATTTCCAACAGCAAAGGATGGCCAGTGGGATGCGTGCAAAAGTTGGAGGTGCAGGCCCAGTAAGCGGGGTGATGGCGAAAACTCGAATAGCCGCCCTGTACAGAGTGTGTGTGTTGGCGGGGGGAGGGGGGGGGGCACAGAGTCTGGACAAAGAATAACAACTCCATTACTCCATTACCAGACCCAGATCCTCCACCTCTGGACTGTTAGACATTCCAAGAAATAAACTTGTCACATTGGGGATACAGGGGCTCGACCATCCCCTCCTAGCCCCATGAGCTTGTTACAGACTAAGGTAACTGAGCCAGGCTTACCCTGCACCATATGGCAAGCAGGACTTCGAATCCAAAGCCTTAACCCCATCTCCAGTGTTTCCCGAAGTTTGTTCCAGGATCACTGACCAGGAAGGACCTGGAACATCTGCAAGGATGTCCCTTTGAGAAACGTCTTTCGGCAAAACCCCGGCTTTTTATTCGCACTTGGGTTCCTTAAGAGTTAAATGACAGCCCTTAGTAATACCGACCTCGGGGGCTAGCCTGAGTGGGGGCTGGCCTGAGTGGTCATACTGGACGGGAGGTGAGAAGCAGTCCCAGACAGACGTGACACCCGAGGCCAAGGCTAAGGGCGACCCTCTCCTCGCCCGACCTGATCTCCAGCGCAGGAGGTCTAAACTGCGCTGCCTGAAATGATGCATAAGTGGCGGCCCAAGGGTGTATTTACGAAGTGGAACAGGGTGGCCTTCTCCCTTTCACAAACCCATTTTAAATTAGGGCCAGAACTCCATACATTAAACCTGGCTCCCTGGGTATATCCCTAGGGAGCTCCAGGAGTCCAAGCACCAACTCTACCTCTTGCTCCACCGGGCTGCTTGCGCTCCAAGACACCCGGAAGGAAGAGGGACCAATCGGAGGAGGGACTTGCCCAGGAAGAGGTGGGGCCTTGAAAGGGGCGTGGCCTGGGCGCGGGGGGAGGGGCTCAGTGGAGGAAATGGGCGGGCCAAGCACCCCACACACACACACCAGAGGATGGGGGCGTGATCAGGGAAGGGCCCCCTCGCTAGGCCCCCACATCCAGACACAGGAGGGCGCCCGAGAGGCCGACCTGCGCCCGCACTACAAATGAAGAGCTTTATTTACACCTGTCCGTCCAGTCCCTGCTGCTAGGAGAGGCCGACTGCAGGGGGCCAAAGAGGAGGCCCAGGGGAGGAAGAGGGCCCGGCAGGGCGTGAAGAGTCCTGAGTAGGCCAGGCCAGGCTGGGAGTGAAGGCACGAGGCCCTGAGTCCCACAGCAAAGGTCAGCCCGCCTGGAGAAGGCGGATCGGTTCAGGGTCAGCTCCCTGGGGTCAGGCCCGGGTCCGCACCGCTGCAGCTCTGCTCGTAGGACGGAGGAGCCTCTGTAGAGAGAGAGCAAAGTCTGTAAGGGGCTAGTGGCACACACCACCCCTCCCCCACCAGGCCCCAGGCCCCCACTTACCATAGGGGTGGCCCCAGGAACTGTACTCTGGGGGGAGAATCAAGGTACCAATGGTGGGCACTGCCCCTCCCGACCCCTCTGCAAAGTAGGGCACGGTGGCACCTGTGGAGATGCACAAGGTAGGGGGCACAGGGTGGGAAGCAGGGCTGCCGTCCAGAGGACAGGGATCAGCACCGCCAGGCAGTGGCGGCTGCAAATGGCTCTGGGTGATGAGGGAAGCAGGGTCTGCAAAGTGGGGGTGGCCAGCAGCTGCCTCTGCTTCCTCCTGGGGCGGTGCAGAGGGCACCACCAAGGGCAGAGCCCCAGCAGGTGGCCCAAGGCCTGGCCGGGGGCTCAGCGGGGCTTGGTTCACAGCGATATTGCCGATGAAGACCGGGAGGGTCACGGAGGCTTCAGGCGCCTTCAGGGAGACCTGCAAGGGATGGGGGGTGAGGGCCCAGGTCACCAGGCCCACTCCCCCAAGCCATCCCCCCAACTCCAGTACCTGTAGGTAGTAGTCCACGTGGATGAGGCTGCAGCCTGGCAGGGCAGACTGAGGCAGGGCAGGCACCAGGATCTGTTCTTGCCACTGCGTCTGTCTCCAGGCCTTGACACCAGCACCCTCCACCTCCGCGATGGTCCGCACATCGTAGATCCAGCGCTTGGCCTTGTAGGACACTTTCTGGGGAAGGGCCAGTCTGTGAGCACCGAGAGGCCAGCCACCTGCCCATCCACCATCCCAGGGGGACTCTGACCTGCAGCAGACTGGCCATGACAGGGCTGGTGTCCTTGCCCGACTGGTTCTCAATGTCCACCTGCAGCCGCAGCACCTGCCCCACCACATAGCCTCGGAGGTCTGTGCTGGCTGTGAGGACCACGCTGCCCGTCTTCACCAGCTTGTAGGAGAACTTCTTGGTGGCAGAGGCCACATTGGGTTGCTGGGGGTGGGAAGGGTGGGGAAGGGGTTGGTGGGGGGGCTGGCTGGACCCCTGTGGAGCCTGGACAAGGCCACTCAGCCCTGCCATGCCCCAACCCTAGACAAAGCACAGTCAGCTGAGGACGGAGGTCACTGTTCTTTCAGACCCTGGCCCCTGTACCTCGGATGGGGACAGGACATTGGGCAAAGGTGGGGGCCACCCAGGGGGCCGCCAGCCCCTCCTCACCTCAATATCTGGGATGCTGTTCAGGTTCAGGGGGCTCAAGATGTAGAAGACACAGCTGCACTGGTGACCCTTGGAAAAGCGTGGCGTGTCAATGGTGGCCCTCACCTGGTGCACAATCTTCCCAAAAGGGCCCTCGAAAGACGTGGGTGCGGTGGCTGGAGAAAGAGCAGAGACTGGCATCCCACCATCCCCCCACCTCCCACCCTCCCCCACCAACTGCCACCACCAGGCCTGGCCAGGCTGGGCCCTCACCAGGAAGCAGAAACTGGAAAGGGAAGTTGTGCTCTCCAGTGGGCAGGCTCCCTGCAGAGACAGGAGGGAGGGTGAGGGCGCAGAGGGCGCAGGGGCCTCAGGGGCCCAAGGGGACACCACACCGCCCAGGAAGAAGCAGGCACTGTAGCCAGCTGCCTCACACTGCATTGGCTTCTGGGACTCCCAGCCTCTGTATCCAGCACCACAGCAGCATAAGGTCATGGCCAGGGCAAAGGATGGGGGACAAGAGCTTGGCTCGAACAGTGGGGGCCAGGGCTGTTCCAGGGGCAGGAGCCCACCCAAACCCAGGAGAAGCTGGCCCCTTCAGCCACCCAGCCCCCACAGGACGAAGCCCAGCATCTGCCAGGGCAAGAAGTCCATCCGGGTGCACAGCGCAGGGAGAGGATGGGCACATGTAGGGTTCCCAGAGGCAGACTGAGGAGGTGGGGCGGACAGACGGGCTCCCAGACAGACTCACCCTTGTCAGCCAGCGACAGAGTGCTGTTGAAATAGCCCTCCTCCACCACCCACGCAGCATCATTGGCCTTGCTGGAGACCCTGCAGGAACCTGTGCAGCTCACTCGGATGGCTGCAAGAAGGGGGGACCGTGTGAGCCCCAGGGAGCTGCTGGCTCGGGCCCCTTCCTGCCCCAGCACAGGGTTCCAGTGGGGCTGGCAGCACCCAGGTGCCGGGCAGTCCCACCCAATCAGGCTCCGAGAAGGCCAGCAAATGGTCTGCTGCCTTTAGGAGACATCTCCTGCCCATGCCCCCATTCTGGGGTGTTGACAGGGAGCCAGGGTGGTGAGGAATGGAGTGCCATCTGTTCTGCAGCCCAGGAGGGCCCCAGGGGTCACCCAGAGGACCCCTGGGCAACCCCCAACTTGGTAACCGTGGCTCTAGCCGCACCTGAGCCCACTAGACCTGAGAACCCAGCTCTCTACTGGGGCTGCCTGGGGTAATGATGAGGAAGGGAGGCCTGGGCCACTGATGACCTCTGACCCCTCAGCTTCATGCTGCCTCACAGGCAAGTCAGTTAGGCTGGGGGCCCACTTCCGGCCCTCCCAGGAATGTGGTCAGACCTGCCCGACCAGCAGAAGCACCCAATTCTGACATGCTGCAGAGTGGGGACTTGACTTCCTGGGCCAGCACTGCCCAGGAGAGCTGATTTCCTGCGTCCAGAGAAGGCGGGGTTCTCCCTACAACTCCCCAGTGGAAGCGCCACCCTCGGCAGCAGAAGCCGTCCCCCCACATGGTTCTGGGGTCAGGAACTCGAACTTCACAGTCCCACACACACGCTCAGAGTCCAGGACAGTGGGAAGGCCGTGGCTGGACCCAAGCAAGGAGCAGGGCGGAAGCTCGGTGACAGGCAGCGGAGCTGCAGGGCTGAGTCAAGGCCAAAGACTTCAGTCGCACCTGATACATCTCTGCCCAGTACCATTTCCTCCTGTGACTTAATAATCAGGTGAAGGGAAACTGACTCGGAATCTGATACCTTCCTGGTAGAGCCACCAGGCAGGAAGAACCTGGTGTCCCCAGTGCCCAGCACCAGGGGTCAGCCCCAGTCAGTCCCACCAGCCATGTCCACAACCTCCCCAGAATGGCCCCACCTTGCTGATGCAGCTTCCTGTGGGTCACCCTGAGCACACACAACTTCCTTCATGACCCTGGCTTGTCCTCGGGCCCCACTGTGACCAGCCCTCAGCCTCTGTGCCAGCCCAGGCTCACCTCCGGACCTCAGCCCTGCTTTCTAATTCCAAGTCCGTCATCCAGGCCCTCCTGGGTCCAGACCCGCAAGTGTTCCCACCATGAAATCTGGGACACCAGGGCTCCTGCAAACCAACACAGCCCAAGAGCAACCAGGCAGGGGACAGACAGGCACACAGGAGAGGGGTGACTGTGACCTAGGGAGAAGCTTTAACCTTCCCCGTGGACAGGGCACATTCGCCCCTTGAATCTGGCTGCCTTGGGGACACTGGGACCGACAGAGTGTGCCAGAAGGGGTGCAGTGGTCCCCAGACTGGTCCGGTGCCAGCCGAGCCCTACCACGTCACTCCAGAGGATGACACATGAGCCGAAAAACTGCCCTGCCCACCTGTGTCTGAATGCCTACCCACAATGCCGTGGGACATCATAAAATGGTTGTTTAAACCACTTGGTTCGGGGACGATTTGTCACTCGGGAGTTTACACAGCAGCAGATAACAGGAGCAGGTGTCCACCTCACCAAAAGTCAGGGAAAGGCAGAGGACTTACCACTATAGACACTCAAATTAGCAAAAATTAAATATTTGATATTTAATATCAAACTATTGGATATTTTGACATCACAGCGACCAAACGCAGGCTGACACGGGGCCCGGAGAAGTGCCAGGCAGGACAGACCCACCCAGCAGGTCTTGGAACCACACTCTGTTCACGCAGGACCCTGGAGGGCCTCTGCTCACCCTGGCCCACGGTTCAGGCACAGCCCATTTGTCTACGAGCTTGTGGCTAAAAGACTTGCTTACCCCACCTGGCCCTGGCCCCCTGAATTCAGGTGAACAAGCTGTGGGTACACCTGACCCCCCAAAAACAAACAGTATCAAATCAACCCTTGGGTTCTCCCAGAGGGACTGGAGGTCTGAGACCTTCCCAATGCCCTTGCAGAGCCCCACTTCACCCGGACACACGGAGATCCCCTGGGGAGCCCTGACTGCGTGAACAGCCTCCAGTCACTGTCTTGGAGTCAGACCGGCCCGTTCCTGTCCACCTTCTTCTCCACGGGGGAACAATGGGGGCACGGTGGGGGGACCCCACACAGCACGTCGTCCTGCCCCTTGCGGGGGGCATCTGCCCCTAGAGGACAGCGTGGCCCTCATACCGGAGTGTGTGCCCACGGCCTAGGACGGGGTCAGGTGTGCTCCGTAAGCCTCCACCACACGGCACCACTCCGGCTGTGGAGCCACCGAGCCCTGCCACCTGGGTTTGCGACCGCTCAGCTGTGCCGATGCTCCACGTGCAAGAGAGGCAGGTGCGGAACGGACAGGCATTCATGTCTGGACACATAGGGCTGCTCTGGTTCTCTAAGGAAAGTCATCATGCAGACCTTGTTCCAGAGTGACTTCTAGAGCTGTCCTCTCCAGCCAGCCCTATCACCTGGCCAGCAACCCCCCCCATCCGTCCACGGTCTGACCATGAAGACTTCTGTTTGCCCCTCCTCTGCTCCCATAGGTCTCTCCCACCACCTGCCAGGTCCCATAGACCTGGAGCAGCCTGGCCTTTGCCACATCCCTTCACTAAAGCTTAGCCCACGAGCCACTTTTCTCTGTCCTGGCTCCAAATCTGTCATACCAGCGCCCACCTCCCAGGGCTGCTGTGAGGATTCGTGGAGTTGGACCACAGCAAACAGAGAGGACAGCATCTGGCCTGTGACAAGGGCACAGTGAGCTAGTAGGGCTGGCGGCTGTCCCTTCCTCTGTGTCCTGCCCGGGGAGGAGAAGGCCTCCCCATGGTATCGCTGACTGGTAGCAGGATAAAGCTTTTATTATAAAGCTTTTTAATTAAAAAACCCCCACAACCTCTCCTTTCTCACACCCAGGCGGGGCTGGAGAATGCCCCAGAGCAGCTGCAGCACCCACATTCTCCCTGCTCAGGGGCCGGCGCCTTCACAGCGGGGACCATCAGCGGGGCTCCCTAGGCCTTCTGTGGCCCGGCTCACATCCACTCACCACGTATCTCACTCACCACATGAAGGCCAGGGGGCTCTGCTCAGCCCAGCCCAGTCACACACAGCTTAGGCCATCCCTTCACTGTGGTCAACATCGGCCTGCTGTCCAGGACCCCAACTACAGGAGGGTGACAGGGTGGGTGTGCCAGGCGATGGCTGCAGCACCGGCATCTGTGGTGCGTTTGTCCACCCGGCCACGAGCCTGCACCTCCTTCCTGTGGCCCTGCATGGCACTCTCCCCTCAGCCAGGAGCCTTCTAGCCCCATCTCATGTCTCACCTGTCACTTGTGCCCCAGGGAAGAGCTGTACTGTTCCTACTATGCCCCCTGCCACACCTACTCTCACCCAAACCCCACTCTAACCAGAGAGACCAGAAATGAGGCGACCGGGTCACGGAAGGAAGCTCCACGAGGCTGGACCCCCAACAAGAGGCACCTGCACCAGCTTCCTCTCAGACCCCTGTAGCCTCACACTGTCACATGCTGGGGCGGGTGAGGCCTGTCCAGCATAGAGGGGCGACTGTCCCAAGAGTTTAGCGGCTTTCAGTCCTCAGCAGGGACCAGAAGCGCTGAGCTGTCAACCACACAGGTGTCTGGAAGGTCAAGGTGCAGGGGGAAGCCCAGCAGCTGTGGTTTTGGCCAAGGATCCCAGAGTAGAGGAGCAGCCCAGCTGGGACACCCCACACAACCTTGCACTCGGAGCCAAGGATCCCCGCGCTGTGCCTTTGCCACACCCCCCGCCCTGAAGATGGAGCCCCAAAGTCCCACCCGGAGCCCGGTCTACGCCTGGGACAGCAGATGAAGCCAGCACCTATGAACAGCCCTAGCAAGGGCCACTGCAGCAACCCGATCCCCAGTCCCGAAGTCCCAGATGTCTGCACCAGCAGCGGGACTGGCCAGGAGGGCTCAGGTTCAGCTCCCAGATGCCGGCTGGGCCGGGGGCCTGGGGCACGCAGGTATGAGCGAAAAATCCCCAGCACACAAGGACAAGCTTAAGCTGGATGTAAGCGGGTGCAGGAGTGCACGGGTACCGGGTGGGCCCTACCGGGGACCTGCACACGGGTGGGACTGTCTGTGAAGAGGAAGGGGATGCACCAGGAGCCTGGCTGTGTGGGAGGGAAAGCCCAGCCTCCAGGTGAGGGCCCATCAGGTGCAGGCCTCAGCGGACCCTGCATATCCTACAGGGAATATCGGAGGCCGTGCGTGTGTCTAGCCAGAGTGGGCTTCAGCAAGCTGGACTGGCTCTAAGCCCCCGCCCCGGGGCGGGGAGACGGAGAGAACAGGAAAGGCAGAGAAGGAAGACGGCCACCCAGGCCTCCCTACTTTGCCCCGACCGCGGCCGGCCTCCCACCCCGGAGGGTCTGCACAACCCGCCAGCCCCACCCAACCTCCCCGAAGCCGGGGAACCCGCCTAAGAGCCCACAGGAGCTCCGGGCTGGCAGGAGGGGCGAGGGGGTTTTCCCAGGCTCAGCGCCACCCGTAGCCTCTTCCGGGAGCCCTGGCCCTGCCCTAGGTGCGGGCGCAGCCACCTGAACCCCGCCCAGCCTGGCCCACCCCGAGGCGACCCCGCGCCCACCTCGGAAAGGCAGCGGCGCCCCCAGGCATACGCGCACGGTCCCTGCCAGCGGTTCCCCGGGGCTGTAGACGACGCGGCCGCGGCTCAGGCGGATCTCGAAGAGCTGCACCCGCCCCATGCCGCCCGCGGGCCTGGCCGCACCGTCACTCACTGCCACCCCCACCCGCCTGCTGGCCCGCTGTGTTCCCTGCACCCCCCGCCACGGTCCGACACGCCCTCGACCCCGCCCCCGTGCTTGGAGACGCCCCGCCCACCGACCCACCCCTCGGGTCAGGCCACGCCCCTGATCTGGCCCAGCGTGGCCCCGGTCGGACACGCCCTCAATCCGCCTTACGCCGGCCAGACCCATCCCCCGCCCCGGCCACGCCCCCGCCCCTTCCGCCCCCAACTCGGCCACACCCCTAGGCCGGTGGGTTCCTTCCTGGCCCTGTCCCCCGACCCCCCGCCGGCCCCCAGACCCCGCCAGTGTGCCCGCAGCCCCGGCCTGGCCCGCAAGGTGGAGGTCCGTGGCAGGTCGCCGGAATCAGACGCACGTGCGCCGCCTGCTGCCTCGGGAAAGCTATCGGCTCACCTGTGGAGGGGGCGGGGCCTTGCCGTGGCCGGAGAACAGGGGCGCCGGGGCGCGGCAGGCGTACGGCCAGGTCCCTCGCTGCGCCCAGCGCGTCACTCCACGGAAGGACGTCAGGAGGGCGGGCCGGTGTGTGGGCGCCGCGGTTCTGGGGCTCCGGGTGGGCCCCTAGGGGCGGCCTACGCTGGGAGCCAGCCCTGAACACGTGGGTGTGGGGCTGCGTGGGGCGGGATGCGCGTGATTCCAGGGCGCCGAGAGACATCTAAACATGTATCGTCTTTAAAAAGCGGCTCTGTGCCGAGAGAATTGCGGCGCACGGTGAGTGCGCAAGGGAGACCGGGAAAGTCTGGGAAGGAGAAGGCTGTGCTGGCTCTAGGAAGCTTGCAGTGGGCGCCCACCGCTGCTAGTTAAATACGGGGTGCTTGAGGCAGGACGTCGAGGTATGGGGTGTGGAAGATGAAGGACTAAGAAGTGGTTACACACTTGTGTGTAGATGGTAGCTCAAGGCAGGGTGCTGAAGACATCAGTTTGAGGTGAAAGCCACAGAAATCTGATCTAGCCCTGAAGCAAAAGGAAAGGAGACTTGCAGGCTGGAGAGGTCCTGCCGGGCCAGGCGAGGAAAGGGAGGCCCCACCTGGCTCCCGCAGCATCCTGCTGTACTGTACCCCAGAGGGGGTCTAATTAACCACGGAGCCAAACGGGGGAATTCCTGAACCAGGAGTTCAGCGCGCCCAGGGGAAGGAGGGAGATCGTGGGCAGCCCAAAATGCCAAATGTCCACAACAGAAATCAAGAATGAAGCTTTCAGGAAGGAGGGAGGGAGATGGCGCTTTGGCTGCCGCTAAGATAGAATGAATGAGGACACGAGAGGGGTGGCCTTTATACCCTCTGTCTCCCACAGTCAGACCCCCAAACGGCCCTGCATGGCCTTCACTCTGACCGCATCACCCACTCATCGATGTTCTGGAAGCTGCCCACATCTGCCCTGACCTTTGTCCCAAAGTCCCTTCCTCTTTCTCCCCAGCACCCAGGCTCTCCTGGGGCCTCTCCAGTGTAGATGTTTATTTGCACACAACTTCTGTACCTACCTCCAGGCCTGGAGGTAGCTACAGACCCCTGTGTCCACATCCAGACCACTTCCCTGTTACCCTAAAATCTCCCAGGATTAACTCTCACCTTCTCAGAATAAAAACCCACCACCCTCTACTGCTGCCCTCGTGTTCAAGGCCAGGTCAGTCCCCTTTATGTCCTGGTGACGTCGGCTCCTGACGCACTGTCATCTCTCCAGTACCACTTTGCAGGAATTCTTAGTAACTTCAGGATCCACATAGGTGATCCTTCCTACCCCCTGGCCTCTGTCTTAAAAATGTACCCAGCATTTGTTTTAATCAGGTGAGTTGACCGACACAGACAACTACTTGAAGAAAGAGCTTAGTACTTACCCACGAGGAGGGGAGAGCCACCCCACCCGGCCACATGGGGAAGTGCCAGGGGTGGCTGGCCCAGAGCCCGTCCCGTGTTTTCTGTGGCAAGGAGTGGGTGATGCAGCACAGGCAGCATCACCGCGTTCAGGTTGGAGAGCGTGAATGAGCTCAGTGGGCTCTGGGCTAAGGGGTGCTCTTATGGTGCCCAATACCTGGCCCTGGGGTGAGTTCGGCAGAGAAATACTGGCGCGAAGCGTGGGTTACATAAAGGAGGTGGGCCCAGGCCGGGTAACTCCGTTAGTTAGAGCATTGTCCCAAGGTGCCAAGGTTGTGGGTTTGATCCCTGGTCAGGGCACATACAAGAATCAACCAATGGATGCATGAAGAAGTGGAGCAGCAAAATATCAACGTTTCTGTCTCTCTCAAATAAATAAATTTTATATAGACATAGATATAAGTAAGAGAGGTGGGGCTATGGGCTCTGGATTGGTTTGCATGTAAAAGGTATGGTCTCAGAAAATTGCTGTCTCTAGGAATTAGTCCCTCCCCAGCCAGCAAGGGCTCCCAGATGTCAAAGCATCATAAATAAGAAAATAGCCCTGGCGGGTATAGCTCAGTGGATTGAACTCGGGCCTGCGAACCACATGATCGCAGTTGAATTCCCAGTCAGGGCACATGCCTGGGTTGCAGGCCAGTTCCCAGCAGGGGACTCACGAGAGGCGACCATACATTGATATTTCTCTCCCTCTCTCCTTCCCTTCCTCTCTAAAGAGAAATAAATAAATATCTAAAGAAAAAAGAAAATAGACCCTGGCTGAGTGACTCAGTGGCTCGAGCACTGGCCTGCGAACTGAAGGGTCGCCAGTTGAATCCCAGTCAGGGCACATGCCTGCCTTGCACTTCAATCCTCGCTCGTACGAGAGGCAATGAATGGATGTTTCTCATATCAATGTTTCTCACCCTCTTTCTCCTTCCCTTCTCCTCCCCCTAAAAATAAATAAATAAATGAGTCTTTAAGAAAATAAAAGAACACCAGCAGTACAGTTCTCGTCTCCGAGTCCTGTCCTCCAAGACTCCAGCAGACTAGCAGCTCTCTCCAACGGCCTCGCTGGTCCGGGCTGCACAGCTGTCTGCCCACCCCTTCCCTCATCCCCCCGTGTCTGCATTGCCTCTCCCACCACCCGGTGGGCTCCGCCCCCTCCCGTGGGACCTGCTGGCCCTGCGACTGGCAGGGCCGCGATGGGAGGTGCTGCACTAGTTGCGGGACCTCAGGAGGCCCAGCAGCTTCTCAGCTCGTTCTCTCCGCATCCGAGCTGCTGTGTAAAAATGCCTGGCCACCCTGCTGAAGAAATCTCCGTGAGAGAGGTTGCCCGGACACGTGTGACACTGGCTCATGAGACTGACACGTGAGACTTCCTGCGTCGATCACACCCAGGGACCGTGGTCGCTGCGTGGCCCTGGCCATGTCAGCCAGCTACCGCCGTAGAACAAACCACCCCGCTTGTGGCCGTGACAACGAGGCCACACTCAGCTGCAGGCTCTTCTGCTCTGAGTGGGGTCAGGTATGGCAAGGTGACAGACCTGGTCAGGTATCTTCCACCAGGCCTCTCCAGGTGGCAAGTTTGCAAAAAGCCAATTGACCCTTTAAGTATCTGCCAGGAAAATCAGATCATTAAGCACATTTTACGTCTTCCAGCATGATGGTCTCCAGGCAGCGAGCCCATGGTGGCAGGCCCCCGAGACAGAGGGAGGGGAAGCCGCCTGTCCTCAGGCCTGCGGTCTGAAGTCCCAGAACTTTCTTTTTTTTAAAAGATTTTATTTATTTATCTTTAGAGGGGAAGGGAAGGAGAGAGGGAGAGAAACGTCAATGTATGGTTGCCTTTCATGCATCCCCTGCTGGGAACTGGCCTGCAGGGAACCGGCCTGCAACCCCAGTATGTGCCCTGACTGGGAATCGGACCACGATTGTCTGGTTCGCAGGCCCGCGCTCAATCCACTGAGCTACACCAGCCAGGGCTTTGAAGTCCCAGAACTTTCTAGCACAGGAACTGCGTCAAGAGCCACAGGACCAGTGTGGGTGGAGCATCCCACACTTACAAGGAGAAAAGAAGTTGTGATGACAACTTGAGACAGCTGACCTGCCAGCCAAGCGCAGACCAACCAGCCGAGCTCAATCCAGATGACAGAACCTTGAAAAAACGGTCCTTTAAACCAGGAAGTCTCGGGTGGTCTGTTATGCACCAATAGGTCATGGGAACAGGCATTGGTACTTGGAAGTGAGATACTGCCACAACACTGAAGTGTGGCACTGACCTTGGAACGAGGCCACAGGTGGACCTGGGCAGGGCAGGCTGGAGGGAGGGAGCCCTGTGTTAGGTATCAGCAGGAAAATGGCGAGAACATTGTCTGTGGTAACGTGGAAGACATAAAATGTACCTGGTGATCTGATTCGCCTGGCAGAATGCTTAAAGGGTCAATTGGCTTTTTCCATTCAAGAAGCCATACAAAAGGGCTCCAAGAGTTTTGGGGTCATTGTCCCACTGCACCCGACTTGTAGCCCACAGTAGGGAGGAACCTTCCTGAAGACATTTACAATGAGCGTCTGTCTAATGAAGTGGGTTACAGTTTGATACATAGAAAAGCCACAGGTTTTTTTTTTTCAAGGGTTCTACTGCTTGAACTAAAATGTACAGAATTCAAAATAAATGAGGCCTTTGGCCCCTAACTTTCTTTTTTTAAAAAAGATTTTATTTACTTATTTTTAGGTGGAGAGGCAGAAAGAAAGGGAGAGAAACATCAATGGGTGAGAGAAACACTAATCGGCCACCTCTCACCAAGGAAGGAGCCGCCTGAGACCATGTGGAGCGAAAGAGCGCCAACTGCAGAATCGTGACACATTGTGAACTGATGGTGTTTTAAGCCATGAAGTCTTGGGAAGGCTTGTTACCCATCAGCAGAAAACAGAAAAAGATTGTCGTCACTAGCAGCTGCAGCCCCCTCACAACGCCAAGTCCATGCTTCTCTGACCACCGCCTCCTGTCCTAGCTCGGTCTGCTCGGCACCCCAATGCCAGCCTACCTATCCCACCCCCTTGGCTGTTGTCCCTCCTTTCCTCACTCAGCTCCAATGCCATGGCCAAGCACTGGGACCACTCTCTTTTAGGT